CATACCATCAACTGAATTTCAATAGTTACCATAGACCTAAATAGCAACCCTTGACATTCTACAGCAACCATTGACATTTTTAGCAAAAGTGACTTCAAATAGCAATACGTGTCTTTCATGGCAACCATTGCATTTTCATAGCAATCATTAACTTTTCATAGAAACCACAGACCAAGGAAACCTAATATTTGGTATAGCAACCAGTGACTTCTTTAGAAACTATCGTTTTTCATTAGCAAAAGCAACCAGGCCTGTTTTTAAACGTTCAATTTTTTATTTTCAAATGTAAACATTGTGAAATCAGTTTAATACTTATATTTTAAATCTGCTTGCGCCTATAATTGACAATATTACTTTTTCCGTGTCATTAAGAGTATTTATTCAGGTGAGCGAATTAAGGGCAACCATAGCCTTCTATTACAAGTGTACACGTCACGCATGTTTCTGAAAAAAAAGTTTCAATGCCTGAATGTCTTAAAACTCTAGCAAGAGAATTGTGTGATTTCACTTAATCGTATGAAATGAAAAGGCCATGCCCTCTGGCGAGTATGGTGTTTGCTTTGCAGGGCGATTTTTGAAATGATCTTAGCACATTACATTGTATAAGCACATTATGATAACTGTATTAAAATAACTGTAACTGTATTTCAAAGTTTTATACAGTCATATAGAATCAACTAATAATACCTTTAATTGAATCAGTAACATGTATGATAATTATCCTGGGTATCTAAACATTACACACGTCTGCGCTTTTTTGTCATTTGAAAAGCTGAAATATAACATTGGCTCCCAAATTCGCTAAACACTTCTGTATTGTGGTCAAGTTCAATTATAAAGATACAAAAATTAATCTACTTCAATCTGTATTAATCATCACTATTCATTGCTGTTTTTATGCGATAGCAAAGCATATTTTCACAGATGCAATTTTGGTTTGTTTTTAATTGCACTTAAATGCTCTTTCATATACCCATTTGAAACTACCTTGTGAGCATGACGTACTGATTTTACTTCCAAGATATTAACAAAACAAGAACAATACCAATACAACGTGGTAATAGAATTACATGTTTCGGTTGTATGTATGAGCTGCTGTTGGCTCCAATCGTCCAATATATTTAATAGCAATACATGATAAGTTATATGTACACACCAATTTGACATTTAGTATGCTTTCTGTATGTGGCAAGTTTCACTTGGAAAATCTCTTTCGGAAGAGAAACATAAATGAGAAAATTAATGACAGGTAAATTGTTGCACCGTATACAGCGAATGACAAATAAAACTTACTATTGAACTCTAAACGTTGACTGTAACACCGTATGGGACATGTCGTTAGGTGTCAACATATTACATATCAACGTAATAAGCTTGCTTTTGTAAGATGACTAAAATGGTGATCGTTATCAGTCGTCAATGCTGCAACAACAAAGCCTACGACGTCAAAGCCGACGACTACGAGCAGAACCTTTTCAATAACAACAACCACGACTACAAATGTTTTGACTTCAGGTTCGATTTTAGTAACTTCGACAACGGCTCCGAATTTGTGCAACCTATAACAGACTTAAATTACTACGCGGACGCTTTAGAAATTTTTACGACTAAGAATTTTTCGACAACAAGAACGACTACGACAACAAGGATAACGGCGACATCTACTTGCAATTCGAAGATAACGAGTAAACCAAGACCAGTCCCAATACTAAGACTTTTACAATGAAAAAATTCGAAAAATATGTCTAAGTCTAACTTTACAATGCCTATCGTTTAGAAATCCAGAAATGAAAAGAGTAAGTCTGCCTTAAAGTCAAACATCCTTGAGATCTTTTAGGATACCATATTTCCAAGTAGTATCGTAAGCTTTCTCAAGATCAAAGGAAATTGATACCAGGTGTTGTTTATTTACAAAAGCTTCTCTAATAAAAGTTATAAGTCTTACAAGATGATCGTTTGTACTGTGTTGTTTACGAGAACCTGACTGAAAATTAGTGATCATTCCATTATTTTCTAAATACCATACTAACCGATTATTTATCATTCTCTCGAATGTTTTGCAGAGGCAACTTGTACGTGAAGTTGGACGATAGTTTGTAGGGTCAGTAAAATTATTTCCAGGTTTAGGGATAGGAATAACCAACACATGCAACAGTTGATTTTTTTATGTAACGTATACATTCTTATCACATAAGCTATTAACGTCGTTATTTGTGAACGGTGCTGCATAGAGTATGTAGATTTATATAGTAGTATGTAAGAAAACTATAAAAGTAACAGTTTCCGGAAGTAATTAGGTCTAATGTGTGGAAAATGTATGTTTGTTTGTTCGTTTGCATCCCTAAAAATCTAGCACGTCAGTACATGTATGTGTCAAGAATTGATATGACTACAATGTATACGTAATTATAGCCAAGCTTACACTTGATCGAACGATTAATTATGGAATATGTATCTTTGCTTGTCCGTTTGCATGTCTGTATTTATATCCCTTTATTGTATCGCATCTACGGAGCAGTGGCGACATATAGAGTTCACTTCCCGTCGTCTATCAGTCTGTCCGCCCGTCACATAATTTGTCCGGACTACTCCTCATAAACTACTGGTGCAATTTCATCCAAACTTTACAGGAATGATCAGTACCCAGTCTAGTTGTACATATTGTCAGCATTTTCCGGTTCAATGATTTTTGTCAGAGTTATGGCTCTTTAATAATTTTCATTTAAAAAATTTGTCCGGACTACTTCTCTTATACCACTAATGCAAATTTCAATGAAACTTTACAGGATTGATCTGTTGCTCAAGTCCTTGCGCATAATACACGGGGTTTTCCGGTTGAATGATTTTTGGCCGAGTTATGGCCCTTTAACAATAAACAGTGTTTTTTTCTGTGTGTTGCCAGATACACAAAAGCTTGTCCGGACTACTCCTCATAAACTACTGGTGCAATTTCATCCAAACTTAACAAGAATGATCAGTACTAAGTCTAGTTGTGCATATTGTCAGCATTTTTCGGTTCAATGATTTTTGTCAGGGTTATGGCCTTTTAATAATTTTTATGTTCAAAATTTATCCGGACTACTTCTCTTTTACCACAAATGCAATTTCAATGAAACTTTACAAGTTTGACCTGTAGCTCAAGTCCTTGCGCAAATTGCCAGGGTTTTCCGGTTGAATGATTTTTGGCCGAGTTATGGCCCTTTGATAAAAAGGTGTATTTTTCTGTGTGTTGCCAGATACACAAAAGCTTGTCCGGACTACTCCTCATAAACTACTGGTGCAATTTTATCCAAACTTTACAGGAATGATCAGTACCAAGTCTAGTTGTGCACTGTCTGTCCGTATGTCTGTCCGTCTGTCATAAAACATGTCCCAACATTAAAAAAAGGCCATCATGAGGTGACACATGTGATCACTGATCGCTCTTGTTCTAGCACGTCAAATCATGTATATGTCAATAATTGATATGCAGTAACTTTAGTTTCTACACTTTAATTATAGCCAAGACTTTATTTGATCGAACGATTTATCTAGCTAGCGTTGATAATATCTGAAAAAAAAACGAGGAAGAAGCATCTAATTGGTAGACGAAAGGATCTACTGGTCTAACCATCACAAATATTGTCTTACTTCAGCTGTCATCAACATTTCACCAGCCTTTTGCAGTCTTTTACGTCAGCAGAGCGTTGTCATTTACCTAAATTTCTAAAAAAAAATCTTGGACAAAGAAATATCGGATGCAAATGTAGAATACATTATCAAAGGAACTAATCTAGGACGTACACATGTATCAGGCAAATTAGTTCTTACTTTACTAGATACTTATTAACATTAAGCTGAAAAGGTTTCCTGTTGGGAAAAGTTTTTTATAATTGACAAACCCGATATGAGAGAAATTGTTATCAATCCCCTTAAATTTTCATGAGATACCAGCTTAAATAATTCAAACAAACATTATCTGGTCCCTAGCTTTGATCCTATATTGTGCAGACAAAGGACAGGTTATCCAGACTACAACACCCTTTTTTCAAACTTGTCTTCAAATGTTTTATTCAACTTTTCGTCAACATAGTGTTAACCATGTGACATTTAACTATTTTTCAAAATTGTTTAAACAAAGAATTGGTATCGAGAATTTATTTTACAATAATCGGTCAACAGCCAAGAGTAGTCCAGACGTTTGAAATTTGTCTCCAAAACGTATTGATGATACAGACAATAATTGTCAAGTTTTCATCTTTTTTTTTTAAAATTGCACTTGTCAACGACTACGACTTACATGACGTTTACAACTACGATCGCCGATGATCCCGGCTACGTATATTAGACTTTAACTGTCTCTCCTCTTCAATGACATGTACTATATTAATCATAATTAAAATATAAACATGGACTGAAACAAGAGTAAACACAGAAGGATAACTCAACGATGAAAGCTTAGATAAAGACATTATTACTTTTTAGCCATACATGTCAACATAATTAAACAAAGCACACAAAAAAATGGAAAATCAAAAGTAGACTGTTAGTTATATATGTATAGAATTATTTTTAAACCATTTCGGCAAATAACAAGTGTTTACGTTTTACAGGTGAACTTACAGTTTAAGAGGATAGGGATCGACTGCGCATTGAACTTGTTTGATCTTTTTCTTTGTTATATGTAGTCTAATGCACTCGATTTAATTATCTCACGACTAGGTTTGTTCAGTAATAGACTAATTTATGATGCTGTTCTAGACTTTGTAACCCATTTGCATGACGTATTTTTTTACTCCCAGGGTTGTTTTGATGCCTAAAAGTATAAAATACATTGTCGTCATTTGACATGGGTATTAATTGTTTGGTAAAATTATTTTTTTTAATTTATTGTTTTATAGAAAGACCTACATATCAACAATTTTTACATTACTGGCCTTTGTCGGAGAAATCAGAGGAGGAAGAAATAGCCAATTGGACGAAAGGATGCATCGGGCTTTCTGTCACAAAAATTGGTCTCATGATGTCTGTCATCGAGATTTTGAAGGACTTCCTTTGGTCTTTTACGTCAAAAGAACGTGAACATCTGTCCGAATTCGTACTGAATGCACGAAATTCGAATGTGATATACATGTTTATTAAAGAAAACAATGGTGAAAAAAAAGGATTTTGGACAATAACCAACGATTTTTGTAAATCAGGGTTATGTCAAACCATCCTAGATCGTTTATGCATGAAGCATGAAAACAAATCAAACACTGTCGTATGGAACCCTAATAGTAACCCGACTGATTTGCATAATCTGATTAAAAAAGAGAAGGTACGTTCAAATCCTCAATTGGCCAGTCAGAAATGTTCTATTTGCCCGGAAACGGGTTGCCCATTCGAACTCAGCCGACAAGGTGTTTCTTTGATTCATGACAAGCAACAACATGGGAATGTTGATAAGTTCTACTGGGAGATTGCAAACATGTTCATGTTCCGTGGAAATGAAAAAAATAATTTCCCGAACACTGGGCCTGAAGATACAGACACTGCGTTGATTTTCAAGCTAATGAAGAATTGCAATTTGTTCTCCATAGATGACAATGGAATTTACGACGAGGTACGTATTCAAATGTAGAATAATTTATGTAATCAATGTAATATTTACGCATTCTATATATAAATGAAGTTCTAAATTGTATCCATGTGTTTTTCGTTTCACCTGACGTATGATTCGATTCAGCTGCTAGTCAAGTATAAAAAATGTCCACTAATTATAGTAAAACAATACACGTGCGTCAAGTGCAAAAAGCGTTTACACATTTTCATAACTAATTTTGAGAGAATATGTAATGACTACAGATTTTCAAAAATGAAAAGTCAAATAATAATTATGTAAATTGAACATTAATATGGCTGATTTTTCACTGAAGTTTATCAGTTTTATACTTTTGTAAAACAAAATAAAAAGTCCTTTGAAAAGGGATTTTAGCATCTCTTGCAAAAGAAATTGAAAATGTATCTTTCAGATTAAATCGATTCCTGCTTTCTAAATTTTGAATTGCATTGTCGAAATTCGTCACGCATAAGCAAATCATGCATAAGCTAAATTAAGCAATACAAAACTTTAGTTGATAATCTCCAGTAGTTTTTTATCCTCAGTGATAGAGCGATTTCATCAAGCATTTAGAATATGATAAGGTGATATTGTTTTGAGTCATTAAATAAAAATTGAGATGAAGGAATCCATTTACTAGTGTGCGCTGTCATAAAATATCACTTAGATTCAGCCCTTTTGTTTAAGTTATTATTTTGTTGCACTGTCTGGGAACTTTCAACTGATTGAAGAAAATTTCTTTTTTAAAAGATATGACGTTTCTTCAAAGTTGTTACTTTAAGAATAAATTAGACTAGACTGCTTAAAAACGTAAGTAAATTTAAAATACGATATAAATTCGGCAGAAAAAAATTAAACCTAATTATGATGTTCTTATATGCCTATATCTGGAAGGTTTTTACAAACCAGGCATTTATGCATATTAAAGTGAATGAGGAAGGTCGCATGAAATAATTATTAGTAAATGCATTGCATAGAAACAATTAACAATATTCTTATACATTAAATGATATTATCCACATGTATATCAACAGAAGTAATATACTAAAGCGTCAAACATGCAAGAAATACACATATGACACCTACTTTGTAAAAAAAAAAAATCGAATTTAGTTGCCCCATATGACTTACCTTTTACTGTATTAATAAATAATATTTATTTTATATAAAAAAAACCCGGCAAAATGCTCATTATGGTAATCTAATCAGTGTCATCTTTAACTAAGTGCGAACAGACATTTAAAGATATTTCATACTGATAGCGATTACATAATTCAATCCGATAAACAAGTGTGCCGTTGATCATGCGTAGCATTAAGTAATACATGTAGATAAGAAATTAGTCTATTTGAATATGCCAGGAAGCATATACTTAAACACGAGAAAAAAGATAGATATAAAACCGTGTTTTATCTGCCTTGTAAACAATTCACGCACGGCAACATAATAAATTTATATTCACTTTAATTCATTATATACGAAAAATATTATACCCTATAAGTAACATCTTTTGAAATATCTTAAGAGAAAATACTTAAATTGTTTCATTCCATATAATTATATATCAACACATTTTCATATTGAAATATCAAGGCATTAATTTCATACAATAATCATTCGGATACCGGCCAGTAATAATAACAACTATATTGCCACTTCATAGTGGAAGAGACTGGGCCATGTTGGTATTTGCCGTTCAAAAGAGACAGGGAGAGAGTTTTACTAATTTATGTTTAGAAAAAAGTAACAGTAAACGCTATAAACATAGCACAAAGTACTATTATATTCCCGAGTGAACAATTTTGCTGCTCCTTTAAGTTCTCCACAAGACGCCGGTTATTCCTTACAACGGACGGAAATAGTCCATCTCGCAGATGCAATTCGATCAATCTGAAACTTTTCGTCATTTTTATAATTAAACATATCTTGAAAAGCTGATAAAGACACCTATCTCGCATGTTTCGTTTGAAAGAAGTAAACGTGTATCCCTTTTTATGTCAAAAGGTTTTTGTCATCAATCATGTTAAGTATATCTAATATGATATACTCAAATAATAATAATAATGTGTGTGGGGGGGGGGAGCAGAGTGACCGGGAGTAGGGGGGGGGGGGGGGGGGTCATTATAATTTTCATAAAGTGAAATTAGGCGAATATCTAATTGTTATAGCAGACATAAGAATACGGGACGGCGGTGGTTCTACTCTGGTGACTGCTCGTATCTGGTGGTAAAAGTTAACCTTGACTGCTATCATTAAAGGCCCATTATGCCTAAAAAAGCAATATTTTTTATTTCTCAAAGGCATTCTATTTTTGGTATCTTGTTACAGTTTAAAATAATATTGAATAATTAAAATAATAGATGGACTATCTTTTAATTCTAATACTCTGTTGGCAAGTTTTATAATTATATTTAATTAGTATTTTGTATGGAAGTCAAAATACTACTTTGTTTACATTTTTCTACCTTTAAGACACATAACGGAATATTTATTGTCCCTTTCTTTACTTGCTAAACATCTTATATGCTTTAAATTCATTACTGAAACATTATCAAACATGTGTTTGACATTTCTTAAGAATAAAAAATATGTATTTCTGAGGAATAATGTGCCTTAAAATAGTCTATAAAATTAATTAAACCTATTCAAACTTTTAATGTTTAAAGTTTACCGTAGCTAACTTCACAATCAAATCTGATGTAGGATTTAATCAAGTAAGCTGAAAAGTAAATACTTGTTCATGTACATGCATTATCACATGTTAGGACCTTTTTGAAAGATTATTAACTACATGGCAAGTGTTTCCTCTTCATATTATGGTGAACTATATACTTTCATAAAACTGAAGAAAAGTCTTTAAAGAAAAGAGTAGATCATGAGTAACACACGCTTTCAAATAAATAAATAAATAAATAATAAAGAGTGCAGATTAATGAGAAATTTAACTGCGAACAGGTACACGATACTATACCGTTAAAGGTTGAATCTTTATTTCTATAACTTTTTTTTTTCGTTTTACCCCTTTCTTTTCTTTTTTCTTTACGAAAGTGTTCATGCGTGAACCTTATTCGGTTATGTTTAGTACCTTTACGGTACATGTATAACTTCCTGTACTGAGACAATGACACTCGGAAATTTCTGTAATTGATGTACATTATCGAGTTTACCCGAACATTATATGATTCTGTAGAACTTGTCTTAAATGAATAGTCAGATGTATATGTTTGTGTAGGAAAGAGAATGACAGAAGGAAATTTATTTTTCTTTTCCAAAATACTCCTAACTTCTGCATACGATCACTTTTTATGCTCACGTTATATATGTTAACGTAAATTTAATAATGATAACTATGTTATTATATTATTATGTTTAAAGGCATTAAGGCTTAAAGTTATTTTATTTTGATTTACTTAAACACCATGTTTGGAAAAAAGAGCGTTGTTTTCTAAAGTAGAAGTTTTGAGCCTGTGGTAATTTTTTTCGCATGATTCACATAACTGTCTTCAGCATAATACCTACAGTACTAATACTGTACATAAGTACCTGAGTTCCTTTATCATATGTCGAAGACTATTTTCGTTGTAGATTTTATTTTCTGTTAAATATTACATACAAAACGCCATGCCGAAGTATTCACGTACGTGAACTTATTCGGTTATGTTTACTTTTTACGGTAAACATTTAATTCCGGTTTAAATAATATCTGTGTGACTTGCTGGTTTATCAATAAAACGTCAAAATTTCGGAAGATGACATCATGAAAACCATGTACACCATATTTTTTACCGCGTTTACACCGATAGTTGTTCGTCTTTTGTACTGGATAATTCTATTCTTAGAGGATTAAATGGTTTCTTCCATTCTTTTACATGTAACATAATGAAAGCATGACATTTGTAGAAAGAAAGTCATATTTTAGATCGAAAATTGCCCGATAACAACATGATGATATATTAATATATATTAATGATATATTCTTTTCATGTACAATGTGCTAAACAATCTCAGTTTTATAATGTATTTTACAAATCAGACAAATGTCAGACATGAATATTATTGTGTTAGATGAGACTCCTGCTTAGGATTATATCACCCCTGTGCCTTTTATGAATGAATCGGTATAATTTATTCCAGCGCTTTTAAGTGTTGACATTTGAGTGAGACTAAAAAAAGGATTGGAGCACCACACTAAATACCGTATTCCGGTACATACCGGGCAAGGCGCTTGAATCATAAAATGCTAAAATCTTGCCTTTTTACCCAACGGAATGAACTGAAATAGGTCTAATTCATCTTTTCACACCGATTCATGTATGATAATGAATGAAAAATGTAAAAATCGGCGAAAAAAAGATATTTGTCTATTTTGCGATCATGATTTCTGCAAGCGTCTAGAGGTACTGCTCCAATCCTGTATTGAGTTAAATCCTTGACATTTGAGTACCGCTAAAACCGGTGCTAGAGGCAGTGAGGGATGTTGGACTTTTAAAGTTATCCCTCATGTACATATTCAATCAAACAGAGTATGCAATTTTCATGCAATTATGTGATTTTAATGCTTCCGAGACTTTTTTTCAGATATGTATATATCACCACAGCAGATGTCACAGCTTTCCACAGCTTCATAGTACTACATGTGTCGTGTGGCAGCCGTAATTAGTTGCCTCGTACTTCAGTGTTGTTATATTTTTGTCTAGTCCTTAATCATTGATTTCCAGCGCTTTTAAGTGCCAGAAATAACTGTTTCCGGGTAGTTTATCGGAAACCCGGCGGAGTCCCCAAGAAGCTATTATATTCCGGGCCTTACCTGCATTTGCCAACTTTGCTTCTGAATTTCGTGTACATGCCACTACATGCATACATGTTTATTTACTAGTTTTGACAATATACTTTATTTGTTTCTCAGTTGATTGTGAACCATATAATTAATAAAAGGTAAGTTGATTAGATGGGATAATCCTTCTTTTGCTGTTTACAATTATTAATTTTTAAGGGTAGCGCAT